CCACAGGCGGATCCCGGTGTGGTTCTCATGTCCACCCCCCTGCAAAGCTGGCCCTGGTTGCATGCAAGGCTGTGTGTGTGTTGCGTGCAGCACATCCCGTGTGTCCTTGTCCAGCGGTGCTTGCCCCTGTCCCATGAGTCCCCCCCTCTGCTTGGCTGTGCCATCCCGCCATGGGTCCGTCCCTTGTTGCAGCTGTACCCAACAGCCACTCCCGAGACTTTGCCCCAGCCCCTCTTCTTTCCGCAGCCGGTGACCTGTCAGGATGGCGGTGCTGGGGGGCTACTGTGAGGGCAACAGCTCCATCGCCCAGGCCTGGGTCCAGCAGGGCTTCCAGCCCTGCTTCTTCTTCACACTGGTGCCGGTCGTGCTCCTGAGCGTCTGCCTGCTGCTGGGCGCCCTGCAGTATGCCTGCTATGCCCGCTTTGGCCGTGCCATGGAGCCCAAGTACATCCCCCGCTCCCACCTCTACCGTGGCCAGGTCCTGCTGTCCCTACTCCTGGCCCTGCAGCCCTTTGGTGGGCTGCTCTGGCAAGGGGGGGGCCCAGGACAGCTGTACGGGTACATGTTGCTGCACGCCTGCCTCTGGGCCCTCAGCTGGGGCTGCGCCATTGCCCTCCTGCAGCTGGAGCACACGCAGGTGCTGGCGCACGACAGGACGCGGGGCCACGGCACCGTCCTTCTCCTCTTCTGGGCCCTGGCCTTCGCTGCTGAGAACCTGACCCTCGTGTGCTGGAGGAGCCCGCTGTGGTGGTGGGCGCTGGAGGACACCAACCAAAAGGTGAGCTGGTGGACGTGGGCAGGGGAGGGGGACAGGGCCCTTTGCTGGGGGGCTGCAGCATCGCAGTGCTGGGGAGGGGTGTGAGTGCAGTGCGCTGCCGTGCCCAGGGTGTGCACGCTCCTGGATTGCACCCACACGTCTGCCACGTCTCAGCCCCGAGCCCAGCTATCGCACATCTCTCTGTGTCCCCATCTGGCTTGGCTCCCATCAGGCCCAGGTGCAGAGGTGGGGGGTGTCTGCCTGATCCCCACAGCCCTTTACTCCTCAGCTCCCCCCCAGCGTAGGGGCACCCTAAGCCAGAGGGCACAGACCCAGACGTGGCAGGGAGGAAGGAAGGGGTCTGGGTGTTGCCTGGGGTGCTGTGCTCAGCCAGGGTGTCCTGATGAGCTGCGTGGGGTGTCCCCTCTGCCCTGGCTACACTGCACCCCATCGTCATGGTCCACTCATTGCACTTCTCAGCTCACGCCTGTCTTGGGCTGTGCCAAAGGCCGGTTGTGGCGCTGACCCCACACTTTCCGTCCAGGTGCAGTTCAGCTTCTGGGTGTTGCGTTACGTCTGCACGTTCATGCTCTTCATCCTGGGCATGAGGGCCCCGGGGCTGCCCCACAAGCCCTACATGCTGCTGGTCAACGAGGAGGAGCGGGACGTGGAGAACAGCCAGGCGAGTCCTGGGGCTGGGGCTGTTTGGGGATGCAGCTCGGGGGGAGCTGAGGACAAAATGGGAATGCAGCTGCCCTGGGATCAGCATCTTCAGGAGATGGGGAGGAGCGAGGTTTAGGGCTGCCCGAACTCCCTGACCTCTGTCAGCAGGATGCGGCTTTGCTGGGAGGATGGAGCGGGGGCCCTGGGAGGATGGGGATTGTTTTCTTGGTGAAGTGTTTCCCAGGGCTGTTGCCAGCCAGGCTGGGGTGCTGGTGCAGTGACCCCTCTCTCTGCTCGTCCCCAGCCACTCCTGCCCAACACTGGCCGGACCACTTCCACCTGGAAGGATTTCCGGAGGAAGCTCCGGCTGCTGGTGCCATACATGTGGCCCCGGGGCAACCACCTGCTGCAGGGGCTGGTGCTGTTCTGCATGGCGCTCATGGGGCTGGAGAGAGCCATCAACGTCTTCGTCCCCATCTACTACAAGAACATCGGTGAGGTGCCAGGAACTCAGTGCATGGGGCTGCCCACGGCCTCACCGACTGCTGGGGGATGTCACAAGTGACCTGGGAGGGTGCAGGGACCTGGCAGGAGCCAGATTCTGGGGCCAGGGGCCAGCGCTGGGTGCTGGGGCTGGTTCGCATGGGGCACCCAGCAGTGTCCCTCCACCTTGACCCCTTCCACCCTCTCCCCAGTGAATGAGCTGACGGAGGGTGCTCCCTGGCACGTCCTGGCCTGGACTGTCTGCATCTACGTGGGGCTGAAGTTCCTGCAGGGTGGAGGTGCTGGTAAGGACGCCAGGAAGGACAGGGTGCTGGGGAGAGACAGCGTGGAGTGCATTGTGCCAGGGCTGGGGTGACAAGGGATGTCCTTCTGCCCCCAGCGATGCTGCTCTCTCTTGGGAGCAGCAACCAGGGCTGGTCCCGAGTTGGGGACAGCAGGGGGGCCCCCTCCCATATCCTGCTTTCTCAGCTGGGCTTTCTGAGCTAGATACACACCCTCGTGTCCCTGCTGACAGTCCCTTGGTGTCCTGCAGGCTCCACTGGCTTTGTGAGCAACCTGCGCACCTTCCTGTGGGTCTGGGTGCAGCAGTTCACCAACCGGCAGGTGCAGGTGCAGCTCTTCGCCCACCTGCACGGGCTGTCCCTGCGCTGGCACCTGGGCCGTCGCACCGGAGAGGTCCTGCGCAGCGTGGACCGGGGCACCAGCAGCATCAACAGCCTGCTCAGGTCAGAGGGTGCCTGGGGCGGGCAGGGGGCGGCT